AGTGTGTGTGAGTCCTGTTTATACCAAACACAAAGCCAGACAGATGCTCGGTTTGGCATGGAAATTGGCTTCATGGAAATAAATGTTCTTTCTTTTCCTATTTCTTTTTTTTCTGGTGAGGACGCACACTGCTGACAGGCATCGTAGTTGCTGACATATTAGTGAAAATTCCATGCATCTGTTTCTGGTTATTGTTCTCCTGATGACACACCTGTCATTGTGCCTATGCAGTGAGGCGTTTCACATAATAACACCCCCTCTCTCCCCCGGAGCCTGGTCAAATGGACATGGTAGTCAATAAAGCTGTGTGCTAATGTATCTGGAAATCAACTGAGCGTGAGTGTGTGAGCACCTTTGTGCACTCCTCCACCCCCATTTCAGGAGGACTGTTTTCACTTAGAATGATGCTATAATGGATGGAGAGGGAAGGAGGCTAAATCCACCATCCAACAAAAATCTTTCCAAAGTCCTCATTCCCACAGGATATCCAGATTTGTCAAGGGAGAAAATATTAACCTAGTTAAACATGGATTTTAAAATGTTATTCATATGGATATACGGTTGTAGCTTCCTACATTCTACAATATATCCTTGTTTGTTACTGAGCCTGGAAACGGATGTTTAGCACCATGTACCATGCGTAGCCATGATAAGCATTAAATACACTAAATTGTTCTTTTTGTTGGTATCACAGTGAGCCTAACAACATCCTGGTAAAATGAACATATTTTTATACCGTCAGTTCACATGTGAGGAAGTTGGCTCATGGCAGACCAAATGGCTTGCCTCAACCACATCATGCATCCAGTAAATGGGGGATCCCCTCACCTGTCCTATACCAAGGATAAGTGGCAATGACATTGCTCCAGAGGGCCAGGGAGAAGCACAAATCTTTGTAGTGTAAGCCAGATTCTTGGTAGGTTTATGGCAGGCTAATAAACCACTAAATGACCCCAAACAGTTGTTTAAATAACAACTCAAGTTTTGGCACAGGCTATATATAAACTCCAATTCCTGTCCTATTGAAGAGCTACTGTCCTCCAGGAATGACACCAAGATTGGAAACAAAGGAAAATTGCATCCTCTCTTTTCAATAGTGTCTTGTAAATATGGTGTCAGTTGAATCATTCTATTTATAAGGCTTTTATTTTTCCTTACTGTAAACTCTTAAGGACGCTCCACTGCCCCGTGCAATTCAATATGACTAGAGCTCACAGGGGTCTTGATCTCTGCATACGGTGCACCACCAGAGTGATTTATAAACCTCATCCCAGAGCATCCCCGCACCAGGAGTGAATTGAGGCTTCTAAGTGAACACAAGTGCTGTGAATTCCAATGTTAGACCAGCACAAGAAATGTCCCTAAACTCATTTCCTGCAAGTGAGAATGGGGATGTGGTTGGAGGGAATTAGGGGGAATGGCAAACCCCATAGGGAATGAGCATGGTACCCAATTAGCTTCTTTTCATATTATGGGTTTAGGGCGGCCAAGTAATCCCAAGACGGCTCCAGTCATTTTTGCATTGGCAAAGAGGAATAATATCTCTTTTTAATAGTGTGAGGTCAGAGGAAAAAGGGGCAGAAGGAGGAAGAGCTCAGACCTATGAAGGATTGTGAATGCGTGTAATAATTCCCTGGGCATGAACGTTTTTGCAACAACAAAAAAAAAAAAAGAAAGAAAGAAAGGAGATTAAAAAATTAATAACTTGAATGTGTGATCAATAAAAATAATTATCACCCTATAGTTCATTTTTCATAAAGCGCTCAGTGGCCTGAAAGTAATTTCTGATGTGGATATAGGAGCAAAGCACTTGAGATGCACCATTACCAGTCCTATACCAAGGATAAGTGGCAATGACATTGCTCCAGAGGGCCAGGGAGAAGCACAAATCTTTGTAGTGTAAGCCAGATTCTTGGTAGGTTTATGGCAGGCTAATAAACCACTAAATGACCCCAAACAGTTGTTTAAATAACAACTCAAGTTTTGGCACAGGCTATATATAAACTCCAATTCCTGTCCTATTGAAGAGCTACTGTCCTCCAGGAATGACACCAAGATTGGAAACAAAGGAAAATTGCATCCTCTCTTTTCAATAGTGTCTTGTAAATATGGTGTCAGTTGAATCATTCTATTTATAAGGCTTTTATTTTTCCTTACTGTAAACTCTTAAGGACGCTCCACTGCCCCGTGCAATTCAATATGACTAGAGCTCACAGGGGTCTTGATCTCTGCATACGGTGCACCACCAGAGTGATTTATAAACCTCATCCCAGAGCATCCCCGCACCAGGAGTGAATTGAGGCTTCTAAGTGAACACAAGTGCTGTGAATTCCAATGTTAGACCAGCACAAGAAATGTCCCTAAACTCATTTCCTGCAAGTGAGAATGGGGATGTGGTTGGAGGGAATTAGGGGGAATGGCAAACCCCATAGGGAATGAGCATGGTACCCAATTAGCTTCTTTTCATATTATGGGTTTAGGGCGGCCAAGTAATCCCAAGACGGCTCCAGTCATTTTTGCATTGGCAAAGAGGAATAATATCTCTTTTTAATAGTGTGAGGTCAGAGGAAAAAGGGGCAGAAGGAGGAAGAGCTCAGACCTATGAAGGATTGTGAATGCGTGTAATAATTCCCTGGGCATGAACGTTTTTGCAACAACAAAAAAAAAAAAAGAAAGAAAGAAAGGAGATTAAAAAATTAATAACTTGAATGTGTGATCAATAAAAATAATTATCACCCTATAGTTCATTTTTCATAAAGCGCTCAGTGGCCTGAAAGTAATTTCTGATGTGGATATAGGAGCAAAGCACTTGAGATGCACCATTACCAAAAACCCCCTTTTAAAAAAGACTTTCCTGTTCAAATCTCACTGTGTTTTTTCTTCCTGTCTTCTACACTCAACCGTTTGGTCTAAAGACAGTCAGGGAGCTAAATATATATTAATTAGAACTCTTGGGGCTGGCATCCGTGAGATACAATGATACCAAACGGGTGCCATTCTAGGCTCTGATAGCTTCATTTAAATTCCTGAATAAAACATGAAATATCTTTAATGAGAAATGAATATAGTTGTCAGGAGGGAGTAGTTCTGATACTGTTTCTAGTTGAGATGGGGAAGATGATGTGATGATATAATGTGGATAACTTCCATGTTATATAAAAATGATGGTTGCTAGAAAAGACATATCCCTCTTCTGAGACATCACATGCACAACAAAATCAAAAAATTACAGAGCCTGCCAGCCACAATCTCTTCCCATGAAGTGCAGCCCTGGAGCTTCTGCGAGTTCGCAGACACACCAGGAAAATGGATCACCTCCAACAGCATTCGCGAGAGTGAACACGTGCCGTTCAGACCAGCAAATCCCTACTTCCTTCTAAGCAAGAGTGGAGTATGATTTTATAGTCATAAACGTATTTTGTTGACAGCAAAAGACAGACAGCCATGGGAACTTACCTCCAATCTCTGTCCTCTTCAAGAAAGCTACTGCTTGGTGCAGAAGGAAATGGGTTTGGAAAATCACACTGTCAAGGAGATGAGATGTGCATGACTTCTCACTCTGTCTGGACTCTTCCTAGGTCCCTGGGCCCTGAAGCCCACACCCAGCCCCAGCATCTGAAGAAAGCCTGTTCTCCTGTTGGCCTGGGGATGGAATTTTCTTCTCTTCTTCCTGGGGGCTTCCCTTGCTTCATAGTATCTTTCATAATTCAAACAGCAGCAGGCTGCTTTCACGCTGCACCTGTCTTAATCCCAGGTGACCCTCAAACATTTTGGAAATATTACCAATAATAACCAGTGCTTGCTAACCTGCCATTGAAATGGGAGGGCCAGGTCCTCAGCCTGGGATTCTGGGAGGCGAGCGGTCAGAGAACTCCTAGACAAATTGGTCTGGAACAACAGACTATGTATTCGCCGAGCTACAGTAAAAGATGAATAAAACAGCACTCGGTTCTCTTTTTCTGAGACAAGATACAACTCTGTCTTCTAAAGTAGGTGCACCAGGGTGGGTGAGTTGATAAAGATCTTGTCTTCCTGTTACTTAGCATGGTGTTTCATTGGGCAAATGAGTGCACCCCACATGCCCAGCACCCTGTGGAGGAGCTGAGATGAAGTGGGTGGGGTCACAGCCCTTACAATGTCGGGCAGCAATTTCCAAACAGTGTGGTTACACTTAAAGGCTCTCTGAAATCTGACCCTTTTCTGCTCTGCAGCCCACCTCCACCTGCCAGGGCCAAGTCCTTGATGGAGTGATTCTCACCAGGTTCCCAGGTGATACAGGCTTGCTGGTCTTAGTCAGCCTTTGAGTAGCAACAATGTAGCCAGCTGAGCTCTCTAGACTCCTCCATGCCTTCAGGTCTTGATTTGCATTGCTCTCTCTGCCAGGGCTAGCCTCTATCTGTTCGGCCATTGCTATATTTTGTACAGTCCTTTCCAAACACTTTTCCCTCCCCCTCGGGCCCTCAAGATACCCAAGAGCATCTTTCTCACCAAGTACATACAACCTTCTTTTTTCATTTTTCTTTTTCTTGGTACTTACTACTTTGCCTATTGCCGCCTCCTCTGTAGATTGAAAACTATTTCATAAAAAGAGACTATGCATCTTATGTGTCCAATTCAGTGCCTGACACATAGTAAGAGTCTAGATAAACATGTGTTAACCAAATGGATAAATAAATAAAGTGATGGAACTCGGCCACATAACCTGGTGAGCTTTTCTAGGTTGATACTTTTCTGTGTAAATAAAATCTAAAAGGTTTGCTTTGTCCATGCTTGTTTGAAGTGAAGAAATCCAGATAAGTAGGAAAAGTGCATTTTTTTTCCTTCCATGAGACCCAATGACAATTTGGCTATAATACGCTTTTACTTTTCAGTAGTGATTTTTGTGTTTCAGAATTAATTGAATCACCCATTTGTTTTGAACTTGACTTTTCATTTTTAAGACTACTCTATAATTATTTTTTTGTTCAGGGATGGATCAATCATAGCAGTAAGAGCCACATCAAACTTTTACTGAGTTGTACAGAAACTTTTAAGAGCATTTCACATTCGTTAACTCAGTTCCCCTTACATCCACTCTACCCAAACAATCACCATACCGCATCGACCAGATACATTAACAAAGGGACCAAGTCATTACTTTTCTTGTCCAAAGCCCACCAGTCATTCATTGCACAGGGATGACAGCCTCGTCTTTATCTCTGCAAAGATCAAAGCAAGAATATGAATGATAAAATTACATAACAAAGGATTGAATCAGCACACAGAAAAGTTTCCTTGTCTTGACCCATCAAAGCAGGTTGCCCAAACTGAAGAGTTTTTGCCTGAAATAACTCAACATAAAATAACAAAGAAAATATATCCACTACTGATTTATGCCTGCATGTTAAGAGTTTACCACCCTGGTCAAGAGATTTGGGGAGTCTTTTGTGATTCCATGTTCCCAGGTCCCTATGTCCACAGGGTGGACTTTTTACTGTAATCAGATCATTAGAGTGAAGAGGGTCCTTGCTTCATCACCAGTTGTTTTCAGCCTTATGCCCTAGACTCACCTGCTCCAGCCACCTGGGCCTTCCTCCCTCAAGGCTCTCCTCCCACACAGACCCTGATTTTCTGGTGGATGCAGCTGAGGATAGGTTTGCAAGCACGGGCCAAGGGATCCCTATGCACTTGGGGAACCTCATGAGGCGCAGTCTCCCCAACTGCCAGTCTTGTTCAAGCCAACATGATTACAAGACCCAACCCACTTCCCTGATACACACGTTTACCCACCACAGACACATGTCTTAAGATTTTAGTAGTTTGGTCTGGGACACTGAGTCCAGAATTATCTATTTGAGATCTGAGACCTCTCCCTACAGGGCAGAGGTTTTTTGCAGGAAACTCTTCCTTACCCCAAGCGTTTCCCTTATTTCTTCCTTTCCTGTAGAATGTAAGTGGGTGGTACGGTGAAGTGGGGGTCCTAGGAGTGGATACAGGGCTGGAACTTGCAGGAGGTACTCACCTTGAGCACAGCACTTAAGAGATGTCAAAACAACTCAGTAATCCGGATAAGTCATATCTGAAAATAATATTTTAAAAAATCAAAATGAACAAAAAATCCATGATGGCCAAAACTTCAAATGTTTGAGTAAGCACAGTGTTACTGATTTTTCCTTTTATCTCAGACTTTGAAATGGCTCAGTGGAGATGGAATTGGGGAAGGAAACTTAAATATAGGAAGCTCATAAAATCCATACTAACTAGTCTGTTTCTGAATCAGACTCAACCAAAGAAAACAGAAAATGAAGGTTTCCATTTTTTTTTTCTCAAGGACTGGACTCAGTGGTTAGAAGTAAGCAAGAAGCAGTCGACCCTTTCTCCCCATGAGCCCTGGCAGAGCAGCCACTCTGGAACCCCAAATCTCCCCTGAAATGCCTGAAATGCTAAGCAGAACCCAAAGTGTTTCTAGCTATCACTCCTCAAGGACCAAAATGGTCTGGTCACTTTTGAGTAATAAAATATGCAACCCAGGATAACATCAAACTTCCAAGCTCTCAGTCAACTGAAAAACTGTCTCCTTTCCTGGCTCAGAATCCAATTCCTGGACAGGAAGCCTGCCTAGGAAAGGAAGTCAAGGTCGGATTCTCTACTTCCTTCCACAATGTTCTCTCCCCCATGTTTTTTATTGTTTTCAACCTACCAGGGTGGAACAGAGTAGGGAGAAGACGTGAGTCACAGGAAAAGGCCCTTGTGATGGGTCTGTTTCTTCTGGGTGTGGCAGAATCCAAATGGTAAATCTTTCTCTCATTAGACAGCTGGAGTGGAGTCTTTGACACCTTTGATCATCAGAGTCATTGTTACATTGTTCTGGACAAAGCCTCCTCCAGATGGCCACTGAAGACACCCTTTGGTCTTGTTTTCCATGGTTCCACTTCTAAGGCCCTTCCTGGAGTCCACTTGGATGGATCTCTCTCAATAGGACACGATCCTGCTTTCTTGCAAGAGTCCATCATTAGCCCCTGAGGCACTCAGGCTCATGGCATCGTCAACCTGAGAGCACAGGTCCCTCCCAATACAGCCTCTTAGCTCCCATGCTCCCCAAGGGCAGCACTTCCCTTGCATCTGCCTCAAAGTCAAACCTCTGCCCGACCACCAACACCCCCATCAGCTGGCACAGGTTCTATTTTCCAAGGTTCTCCTAAGGTAACTACCAATTCGCCCAAGAAAAAGGGAGGAAGGACATCCTCTCCTCTATAGGAGTGAGACTGGGAATCACAGGGAACAGACATAACTCACGCTGAAGAAACCCTAGAACTTTTCAATTAACTCTTAGCCTTTGCTCATATAGTCTAGAGTAGTTCCTGTAATGCCATACCAAAAGTAATATAAAGGATATGTATTTAATTCTCTTTAAGCAACAGGAAAATTCATATATACTTGGATTTTTTGTTTTAAACAACATATATGATAAAAACAAGTATAATTCAGAAGAGCAGTATTATATTAGAATAGTATCTTTTCTAGATATAATGTGACATCTTATAGAATTGAAATGATCACACGTATACACACACACACACACATACACAGAGGAACCTAAATGCAAATGAAGGGATAAAACATTAAACACTGAGCAATGTTCTTGCATCATGTGGGGGTCATTTATCTCAGCCAGATTTACAGATTTTTCTCTCAGAGCTAACTTCTATACACCTACTGCCCTCAGGTGGGACTGTTGATTTGTGCCTCACCTATTGTGCAGTGAGCCTCCCACCTAATCTTTCTGCACACATGCTGCCTTCCCTCTTCTGGACCACCCTGCACACCTCTGCCCGGTAAATCTTCCTGAACTAGAAGCTGATCTTGTATCCTCCCTCTACAGCCAGCAATGGCTCCCTAGTACTTACTGAAAAAACTTTGAATGTCTAGGCAGATTTTCCTTCTGTGACTTCATTTCTTATTACCAAAATACAAAATATTTCTATCTGAGCCAAATTTATGTAGTCCAGAACAGCCACACTTCCCTATCTCCACACACAGATATTGAATAAATGTGATGAAAAACACTTTGGGTATCCATGCTGTTAAAAGATGACACTTGAAGTGTAAAGGGCATTTGAACAAGGCCCCTGCATATATCCCCATTATATTTCAACTCAGTTCCCTCTATGTGTGTCTGTTTTCCTAATTTGTTATGTATTTTAAGGAGAAAATCTGTGCCCTTTTATCAATATAAGCCTAGTACCCGACAACCAATAAACATTGGGAAAATAAATAAATGAGTATTAAAGTATAACAGATATCAGTTGTGTTAAAGGCCTGAAAAAGAATAAACTGATATTAAAATATAAGGAGTAGAAAGCAAATTAAATAGACAAACATAAGCCGTGTGGTGCTTTGGTCAGGACAGACCATGTTAGCTGCATACCGAACAATCCCAGCATCTCAAGGGTTTAATGCAACAAAGTTGATTCTTAATCCCACAAAGTCCACTGTGAATGCTCCTGGTAGTCTCTGTGGGGACTCTACTCACTTAGGACCAGGTTCCTTCGCCAACTTCTAAGTCTTCCTTAATGTCCTCTCCAGGGTCCCCTGCCTCCAACCAGCTGACATGGAGGGATCTCTGGCCATGTGGGGTTTTTGGAACGAGGCTGGGTGCATCTGCCAGTTGCTCATCACTTCTAAGCATATTTAACCAGCCTTATCTTCCATCTGGATTCAAAGTGGGCTGAGAAATGTGGTTTACATTGCAGATAGGGAGGGAAGGACAAACGCGTTTGGTGAATACTTAGTCTCTCCTGCACTAGATTTTTCTGTATAGTTTTAGAGCAGGCAAAGAACACCCCCATCCATCCTACAGGGTAGACATAGACTACCTCAGCTGAAGGGAGAATATATCAGTTATCAGGGACTGTGCACCAAATTGCCCCAAAATGTAGTGCCTTTGTACAACCATATTTACTATGCCTCAGTATCTGAGGGTCAAGTGACTCAACTGGGTCCTCTAGCTCTGGGTCTCTCCCAGCTCTAATGAAGGTGCCAGCCAGGGCGGATATCACCTCGGGGTCAATAGGCTCCTAAGCTCACTCCGTGGCCATTGGCAGGATTTGGTTCCATGTGAGTTCTTACACGGAGGTTTCGGTTCCTAACTGGCTGTTGGCTGGAAGCTGCCCTCAGTCCCAGGACGTGCAGGCCTGTCCATAAGGCAGCTCAGCTCATCAGAGAGGGTGAGTAAGACCAAAGTCACCATCACTTACAACTTCATCTCACAAGGACATCCCATCCTATTTGCCATCATTTGTTCACAGAAAGCAAGTCACTAGGTCCAGCCACACTCCAAGGGGTGGGGGAGCGGATTTCATGAGAGCAAGCATATCAGCAGATGGGGATTGCCGAGAGCATTTCAGACGCCACTTATCATAGCAATCATAGGAAAAAACCCACTCTGAATGCCCAAATTATGAGAGCTGAGCAACTGAATAGAGGACTTATCCATGGTGTAGCCAAGGAAATTTGGCACACAGCATTTTGTTGATGGGAGGACAAGTGACAGAAGAGTTGTGGGGAGGGAAGAGAATGGAAGGTCAATAAAAGTTTGCTTAGCAAATGGAGTACATGGGGTTAAACCAAAGCTCTACAGTGAGCAAGGAAACTGCTTCTGAGACACTGGACATGGCCAAACTGAAAAAGAAAATACAATTAAAAACAAGAGTGAACTTCAGAAAAAAAGGTTTCTATAGTGATAATCCTACCTTCCTCACAGCTCTGAGAATTCAGTGAAAGGACACATGTGAAATGACCAGATTCAGCAGGTTGCAGGGAGTGGCTGAGTCCTTTAAAAGGCTCTTGGGTAACCTGCGTGCTTCCAGTCTGAGGACCACACTTTGAGTAACCAGGACCCAGCAGGGTGCCCGGTCCTTGGAGATTCAGAGATAACTGTGCCCTTATCTCAGTGGTCCTCACACTTGAGGGGACATCACAATAAGCTTTCAGGTGGTGTCACAACACAGCATGCTAGTCCCCTCCGCTTGGAGCTTGGGATTCAGCAGGTCTGGGGCAGTGCTGAGCAGCTGTAAAGGTATATGCCATCATCCTTCCCCTGGTAAGGTGTGAAGGTCTCCCCTCTCCTCTTGAGGAAACGCTGTTTATAAACCCAGATGCTGCCAGTGCAAGACACCTTGGAGCTATTAAAACAGTAAAAAATGCCTTAATTAGGGCAGGACCAGGGAGTGTTGTAAATCCTTCCGGGTCCCTCTGAAACCACTTCCCTCACTGATGCAAACAGGAGTTCCTTTTTACGTTATAAACATTGCTGGAACAACAAAATTAAAGTTCTCCAAAAATGAGATTATAAACATTCAATGCTATTTACGACTCTCATGATAGAAGCTACAGTAGAATTCATTTTAATACTGTCACTTAATAAATGTACTGCAGGAGTTTATTCCCTCCTTTAAATTATCTCAAAGATGTTCGAAAGACCAACTCAGACATAGGGTGAGCTCTGATGGTGCGGAGGTTCTGGGGGAGGCGCGCAGTCCGATAAGCTACAGGCATCCTGCCTCCCCACTCCATGCCACGCCCAGGAACCCTGAGTTCAGACAGTATGAAGACAACTGAAAATCACCTAACCAAGTTTACTTGTGGCTCAGGCCCTGGCATGGCGATTTTCTCTGCTGGAAGGCTCTTCTTTCCAAAGTTTGCCTGGCCTCTACTTTCCCTCCAGTCTAACAAATCAGCTAGCCCGGTTTTTCCCCCAATAAGAAGAATGATCTTTATATCAGACTAGGAAATACGGAAGGTTTCTCAAGAGGAGCTGCGGGCAGCTGGGAGTGACATGAGGGATAAGAAAGCATCCTCTAGGTGTTGAAGGAAAGGATGTGTGGTCCAGGCAGAGAGAAGGGCCCAGGTGCATTGGGGACCCCCCAGCATTAGGTCCCCATCAGCATGTAGCCTCCCTGGGAGGGGTCCTTGCCTTCTAGAGTCTGGGGCTTGCAGAGGGCTGCCCCTGGGGTCTTGCATGATGATGAATAAGGGGTTAGAGCCTCATGTTGAAATCTGAAGGACACTGCCAAGCAGGAGGAGGCATTATGGAGTGAGTTTTAAAAAGGCGACACTGGAACAGTCAGAGAATAGGACATTAGGGTCCAGAGAGGAAGCCTCCTGGTGGGGATGGATGGGTCCTAAGCAGAGAGAGACTCGGGCAACTGGTCCAAGGGGCGTCATTTCTCATTTCGAGGCAGCATGGCTGAGCAAAAACATTCCTGGAACATGAATTCATGACCTTGCTCACATTTCTCTCACACTTGTCAGAAACGAGACTGTACCTGGATGTTTTGATTCGAGGTTGGAAATATAATCCATAGGCAGAATCCTCCTTGACTTCACAGGTTCCCCAAAGCCCTCAAGTTCCTTCGGTTGCCTGATCGTTTACCATTTACCTGCATTCCCTTCTCTTACCGTATTGACATCTCTCAGTTTCTCAAAGAAGGAAGCTCATCTCCAACTCAGGGCATCTGCTTGAAGCACTGTTCGCTGTGATTCTGACATCGCTAGCTCTTTCTCGCCATTCAGGTTACTGCTCGACTGCTACTCACTCCCAGGACACCACATCACCGGCTTTTCTTTCTCTGCCCTCTATCATCTAAAATGGCCCAGGGTCCTTATTTGTAAAAGCGTTCTTCCCTGCCCTGCCTTCAGTAGAATGTCGAGGCCATGACAATTGAGATGCTCCTGCTTCAACCTCCATACCTACCACAGCGCATGGCACATAGTAGATGCCTGAGAAATGCATGCAGAATGTGTGACCCAAGGGACCAGAAAGGTGGAGAGAGTTGAATCAGAAAGATGTTTTATTGCTAAGGAGCCACCATTTAGTGCCCTTCGCCCAGGGACATTCCCTTCCTCTGTCATCCTAGTGCTATCATCCACAATGAGGGGGAAGACCAGCATCATTGTAAGAGTAAATTCCCAAGGGGCAGGTTGGGAGAGGGCTAACTCCCACAGCAGACTTCTTCCGGGGGTATCAGTTCTGGCAGGGGGAATGCTAACAGCTCACTTTTTCTCTGGGCAATGTACATCTCTTTGCAGCAGCCCCTGACTAGAGCAGCGACCTCAGGGACCAGACAGGAGGCATTAAAAATTAAACAACAGCAGAGTCGACTGGCTTCCAATCTCGAGTTTATAGACAGGAAAATGCTTAATGACAGGTGGTCTCTGTAACAGAGGTGGCCTTTGAGAGACATTTCTCTTGATTTTATTTTTTAATTAACTTTTATTTTCAGTATTTTGTCCCTTTTTTCGGCCCCTGCTGGAATGATATATAAATGATAAAAGGCTCGCCATTGTTTCAAGAGCCGCCCAGACCGCCTCACCACCCGGCTGCAAGGGGAGGGAATCTTTAAAGATCGCTCCGTCTCAGAATTCTAATGTTGCCAAGTGGCACACGTGGATTCACATAATGTGGCCCCCAACTGCAGCTCTTAAAGCTAAAGTGTGCAGTTCTTTACTGCTTCATGTTGACAGTCTCCTAATTACCCATTCCAATTCCTGTGAAACAGCATTCCTCCTGGTTAAGGATCTGTACCATCCTCTGCAAGACACGCTAGTGAGTTGAGTGTATTTTATTCAACATCCACCAACTGTGCATAAACAATAAAAAAAAGGCACAATCCAAATCTTAGCAAGTGGCATTTAGATGGATATATTTTATAACTTAGAATAGGGTCACGATTAAATTATATATGTGTGTATGCATGTATATGTGTCACGTGCATACACATGTATACTATAGACATTAATATCAATAATCAAGTCATCACTTGCTTTGCTCTCCCAAAGCCATGCTCTCCTCTGATTCTCACAATCACCCTGGGAGATAGCAGTCACATTCTAGTCATTTTATAGAATTCGAAGATGAGGTTCAAAGAAGTGAAGCACTGGCCTAAGGTCACACAGCTAGTAAATGCCAGGGCTGAGATTCGAACTCAGGCAGCCAGGGATTGCACTCTTTACCCAGCATGAATCCGAAGTGTATGGGTGCATCCTGGGGCATTAATGAACAAGAGGAAAAATAAGTTGGGAAATGTAGCAAGAACTAGTTTCTGCAGGGTCTTCAATGACACAAGACGTCACTTGGACTTTCGTCTGTATTGAACAAGAGGTCTCTGAATAAAGGGACTGATGGTCAGCGGTAATCCTGCACTTCTCACTTTATTATTATCAAAGTTATATGTCTAACCCTTGTTCGTTACTTGCATATTGAGCCTCTTCCTTTGCTAGAAAGGACATGCCACGTGTATAGATTCTGCTGCGCCCTCAGTGCCTACAGCACTGTCTGGCATATGTAAGACACTTAATACATTGAGCGAAGAAACCAAAGGCGCCAGGTGTAAAACTCCAGTGCCACACCAAGCCTGGACCACCTGGGTTCCGTGAACTAAACATACTGCAGGCTCCAACAAAGCTCTCCCATGGGGACTATGATCAAAATGAGCTCCTGGACCAGACTCCATCCATTTCTACCCATCCCTCACCCCAGACTTAGAATATAAACAGCCCAGCCTTGAGTTTTCCTGGTAGACAAGATGGCCAGGTTCTGGTATGCTGATTGCAGAATACCGATCTGGATTCTCTGATCTGATGGGG